TAGTACACAGGCAACTGGCATTTTTGTACTTGTTCCCCTAACTCAGTAAGCATCTGCAGCCTAGCCTCGCGGGCGTCTGACTCTAGGCTTCCTACCTATATGCTTACCGACTTGCCCACCTACCAACAAGCATGCGTGCCATGAAATATCAGTGCAAAAACTTGGCGCACCGACTTCCTCTCTGGGATGTCTTTTAAGTTATTTTTTTCAAATGCATCTTTTTCCTCTGCCAATTGGGCATCGCTGAGCTTTCGAATCCTCATGACTCTGTATTTGGTTCAAGAAGGAAGTGCTGGTAAACATTTAGGTGCCCAAACACTAGTGTTCACGCATATTTGTTTCCATCTTCTGCTTTGCATAATAAGACGGGTATGCTTTCGTGGAGTGACTTATACTTTCTGACATGAGTAAAAAGTAGGTCGCAAATTGTATCGATGATTTGTTTTGTATTGAAGTGATTGCTGTTTTAAAATATTTTCTCCAGCCTAAGATACTCAAGATGCAATTTCTATACTACATCATCGAGGACGCCTAGATTCATGTGGATGTTTTTGCAGTGGTGTTCTCAATCCACGTTGTCGGATACTGGCAGCGATTTTCGACGACTCTAATTACTTTTGCTTGCCCTTGCTAACTTATAAACTTAGCTGCCTCTGCAAAACACACTAAAAAATACTTAATGAGCTCAAAGTGACAAATGGTAACATATTATGGCTGGGAACAACTGTTTTAGGACGCCTACAATCATAATACGCACACCATGCTGGAAGCGACTAGAAGAAATCACCGCTTTTTTGGCATTTCTGTCATTGAAAATGCTTTCAAGACATGAACAGCAAAAATGGCTCCAATTTTTTTTTACCTGAAGGCTTAAAAATGTTATCGGTATAATCAAATAACTGACAGGATAAAAAAGTCAGGGTCATAGAGATATTCAAGTATGAAAACCGGCGACTGTGGCTGCGATTGTACCGACCTGCTACGATAATTATCAGACTCGTGTTTTCTAGATCCGCTTCCGTCATCTGAGTATCATCTAAACGTGTCACTATGTGCTACCTGGATGCACCTTTCAAGTGCATTAGACGCCTTAGCCTTCCTTGTACCAGTCATCAACGGTGACAGGGTGTCGAAAATTGTGAACATGTGTTCAATCAAGATGGATAGAGGAACGCTAGGGAACCAATCGCGAAGGGCTTAACACCTGTACATTCGGATGACGGAAGGAGCAGTCTTGAATTCCCTCGAAATATGGTTAAGGAAGGATGTTCTCATGCGCTACCGTGGTAAAGGAGGTGATCCTCTCCATGGTAAAGGGAGTGTCCCATGTCTCTCTGTTTCTCTTCATGGTAAAAGGAGTGTTCCACATTTGTTCGAGGTGTTGAACTGAAATGGGTATCTTGAAGACCATTCGGTGCAGTTCACATTCCTGCCTTTCTTAAGACTTAAACCCCTCTATTTTCTGAGGCACACGCCCACGAAAATGGGACGGTATGCCTGGGAGAATATTTCAATGCCACCTTGGTATTCATGATACCATAATAGTGTCATTCAAATCCTGCCATTACATAAACCATGCAGCGATTAAGGTCGAGCATAAATAGAATTGTCAAGTCGCTCAAATCTGGCGCTCGTGAGCACGATTTCAAGACATAACGGCCGTCAATTGCCTCTCAATCGAGGTTTTGGAAGATGTGATTGCGTAATCAAACAATGACGTACCGAATAGCATATGTACTAAACGGAGAAATTGTGTTATCTAAAGCAGTCTTTTCTTCTAAAAAATATAACAATAATTTTAAGTGAGCTTGTTTTATCACATCTGATGATTGCCTCAATATCCCCCATGTGAAACATTCTCTCTAAGCGTTCGCGAGAAGTAAGTGGTCATTATGTACGTGGCTCGAGCTCCTCAGTTCACACCATTCACAAGTAAACAATCGATCAAATCGGCAGATATTGGAGGACTGGGGTGGTTCTGCAGCGCGCTACTGAGCACAATACTAGCCGATCCGAGCGTGCTAGGCGGGCTCATGAGCCGCACGCCATGGCCGTCCGCCTTATGCGGCCGTCAGCTTTTGGGGGAATATCGTGGTTTCTGTCAGATCCAAATGTCCGATGTAAGCATAAACTGCACTAGGCACAAGGGACTATAGCACACGGACGGTTACTTTCAGCCAAACTTAATGCGCACGGAAAATATGGGCTCCATGTCGTTATTACCGTAACCATCGAAAATCGTTTGAAGTTACACCAAAACTGCATAAAGCACTCCAACGCAAAACCCACTAGCTTGGCACAGTTAATGTATCGTCCAGTACGTGACGTCCAGTCCGGTGACAAGGACTGGCGCGGCCTGATGACCATTCTTTTCAACCTTGTTGGACTGTCCCTCGATCATATTTTGTCGAATGATTGCTTCTCTCAGTGCCTTTGCTGCCGTTTTCAACACTGATAGCACTGCCTGGCTCTATGAGCGATGGAACGCTCCGACGGCATGCGTGACGATTATGAACGCTTGGTGCTGCGGCCAGCTCGTAAATCGATGTCGGATGTCCGAGTAGCTGGGCGCTTTGCATCGATCATGTCGATGCAAAGCATCGATGCATCGATGTCACAGCTGTGGATGGAAGGCCGCCATTCATGTCGGTATACGCTTACATGGCCGGCGTGGTGCCAGTGGCAAAACATTCAGTCATCAGACGACCACAGCAAACGCGTCTTGAAAGCGCCGCTATGATTTGTCGTGCGACGTTCTTGGAATATGGCGGGTATGATGTACCGGTGGTCAGCCAAGCTTCGTGCGGTACCATCAAACAACTGCTTTCAGTTGTGTGCCATCTGCCAGAGTATATTCCCTGCAGTTTGAGTTTGAATTAAAGAACGGGAATAAAGAGTAAATAATAAAGAATAAAGAAAAATGGAAGACGACAATAGAACGATGCAGTCCAAAACGACACAGTTCAAAACGATAGTACTCCGCCATTAATTTCACCGGCCAAAGTCTCGCTAGGAAGTTTCATAGGTCACCTCTTAGTGATTCATAAAACAAAACTTGACAATCAGAAGCTAGATCTGGGGCATGACTAATTCGACCCCATGTTGGTGTGTTTTTGGCGATGTATGGCACTAGGGCAAAATAGCCGCATGCGACTGAAAGCTGCTGCCACATCAAACAGTACTTGTTAATGAAGCACTTATTCACATTGCAAGATCGTCACAGGATTATGGCTGAACCCTCGGGCTGAATGTCTGTCACAACGTTGATAATTCAGTGTGATTTGCGGTTGTTTCTGCAGCTAATGTCCCGCCAATTTGTAATTTTCCGGTCCAGCAGCTTGTGCCATGTAATAAGCGTGACCTGTTGACCTGTTGGGCCAACCCTCCAACCAGCCCACACCAAGCGAGGCTCAGGCGAGCCCACCAGGAAAGCCCGCCATTCTGGCCGAGGTGTAGCGCCGTCGGCCTCTGTGTGCAGGTGACGGCCGGCTGCAGACGCTGAACGGAGCCGTCTTCACGTCCACCTGCGAGCCGGCCGTCTGGTTAGCTCTCCCGTCGGAGAGCACGTGTTCGGCCAGCACGGCCGAGGTATGGTGCCGGGTCAGACAGGCCCGGACCAACCCGCCGCTTAGGGGTGGTCCCGGACCGTCCCGTTTCTCAGGGGTGGCCCGGATCGGCCGGCTGCTCATAGGTGGGCCCGGACCGTCCCGCCGCTCAGGGGTGGCCCCAGACGGGCCCGCCGCTCAGGGGTGGCCCCAGTCCACAGAATGCTGCACGGTCCAGGCTCGGCCCCAGTCCACGGACGCACGACTGAGATTCGACCCCAGTCAGTGATGCAGGCAAAGCTCTATCCCACCGATCGCAGTAGGGTAGCACAATCTGTGCTTCGAGGCCACATGCTATGCTATGAGGCACGTGTTACTTGTCACGTAGCACGTGGCAGGTGGACAGCCAGCCGACTGTCTGTCACGGCCATTTAACGGAACTGGAATGTTAAGGTTGTATAGCTCCTCCCGTTTTATATTTAAGTGTACTGTTTTGTTCGATGCTCGACGTTCGATGTTTGTTCGGCCCTTGGTGGTACGCACGACCCCCAAATGACGCTTGGTCGTATTCGGGTTTGCATTCTCGTTCGCGTATTTTGCGCCCGTTTATGTGTCTGTAGCTTTTCGGAACAGAGTGTTACAAATGATAACACCGGCGGTGATAAACACGTAAGACACGCGTCGTTGTAAAACTAATCTTTTCGAATTTAGGTTAAGCAAACACGGAACCTCCCCGAACGCCTTACGTCCCGAGCTGGTGGACCACTGTCCCAAACTGACGCAAACCCCTGTGCTTCGCTTGCCGTGGCATGCAACGCTGGGTTGTGTCTTGAACCAGAGGTGTGACGGCACATGCAAGCTACTGTGGCCTGAAACCATTTTTTACGCCGGGAGGATCTACCTCGATGATGTTTGATACTGCCAAAACACAAGAAGTCCCAATAGCCAAAAATATTTTTTTCCTCCATTTTTGGTCACACCTCATATTTAGAGCTGAGATTGTTTGCCGGCCGGGGCCGGCCATCATGGAGAGGCCCACATTTAAGGAGATCGCGAGGGTACATGCCCCTCCCTTGTGATGTTTTTATATAGGTTTCACATGGGTTCGAGACACACGACCTCTTGGGGAAGCTGGAGCTGTACCCCCTCTCTGTGCCCTGCACCCCTCAATGATGTACCGCAAACACACTCACATACATTCTCCGTTCTCGAAGCCGCCCCGCCGCAGGCCTTTATTTGCGGTCAGGTAACTGTCCTTTATTCGCCAGCGTTCGTCACCAACCACACACACCTCCACATCGGCCCCCGCACGCTTGATCGGGTATGTGTCGCATGCCTGACTGCCTGATTGTGCTGGGGCAATGTGTCGCACGCCCGCACGCCCAGCAGGATCGATTGTCGCTAACAGGCATCGGCCTCACAGGGACCGTTCCTGACGCTCGTTTTGGACGGCACAAACCATCGAGGGGGCGCCTATCCTTGGCCGACGCTGAGCACCGAACTGAAGGCCGCCACACTCCGGCTACGTGGTGGTGACGCTGTTGGTAAGTTCCCCATGGAGGGATGCGAACGGCGAGACGTTTGGCCGTCGGGATTTTCCTTTTGGCCTTTGTGCCAGCCCATGGTCTGATGGTCATAAGCAGCGCTCGATAAGCTGTGCCGTCCCTCATTCATGCGTTGCGGCGTAGCCTACCATGCCAGGTTATCGGAAGCAGGATGTGTGGGAACTTATGTATGTGGAGCAAAAGACCGCCAATTTTCCTGTGAGCTCAAATCGGATTTGCATGCGGCAATGCAGTTCACGATAAGAAAATGTTGAGATTGTTGTTGTGGTAACACTGTTGAAAAGTTCAAAGCCTGGTGGAAAATGCTGGTTGTGCTCATTTCGATGAGATTTCGTATGGTTGATTACGCGCTCGCCTAGCCGCGATTTTCGAGTCGTCCACATCAGATGACTGAATGGGGCTGAACAGACCGTTGGGCGGTCTGAGCCACCCGAGGCAATGGGATCTTAAAGAACACGTGCTGCATGATTGGGATGATCGTACCACATCGCCAGCATCTGAAAAGGTATCTAAATTCCCGCATTACAGCAGGGCGTTATTTAAAGATAACAATTTTTGCGATGAATTAAGGCACTGCAAAGTTTGTGCAATTTCAAAATGTTTCTATGAAGTCGAGGTATATCCTAAACACTCTGACAAGAAAATGATTGCTTTCATGCAAGTCAGCTAATGTGCAATAGGTAAACCACACGTATGCAACTAAGAATAAGGCTGTTATTTTAGAAGAGGCCACTTTTAGACATTTCTGCAGCCAATGCCTTTAATTCGCCCAATTTCCAGGAAAATGTGGCAATGTATAATATGGTACGGCAATCAGCAATGTGTATCAGTCCAACTCGTTGGGTACCAGCTGCCTCATATTGTTTACATTGGTGCTGTGTGGAGCAGGGCGGGCTTTGAGGATCCTTTCATTCGAGGATCATTCAGCTTGAATCATGCTAAGGCAGGCAAGCCCTGCAGGCTCTGTAAAAACTGTGTCAAGCTCTGGAAGTACCGCATACCTATGAACAGGGACGCTACCAGAATATGGGAGTTTGCCTTGTCGCGTCTGCGTCAAATGCCACCGAATGCTTTTGGTAAGTTTTGAAAGGCTTCGCAGAACGACATCTGGCCTCGTACCTGTCCATAAAAGGATGATCTCAATTCTTACCAGCTAACCGTGATTTCATCAAATTATGCGCCTTTACAAATGTTTAAACGGAGCATGTCTAGCCGAAAATTGCTGCCAAAGGCGTAGGATAGAAAATAAACGCTTAAGTTTTAAGAGCTTTGAAAACAGTTTTGCACAGCGATCCTTCGTAAAAAAAAATGTGATGATAAAAGAGGAAGTGGGATCTGCAGGCAAGTTGGAGTTTGAGTTTTCTACCTAAAAACGTTTTGATGCGGTTGTGTAGCCGAAATATCAATGCATCTATCAATGTATCCCGGTTATTCGAAGAGGAATAAGGCTAAAAGTACTATTGTATGTAAGTGCGGAATGTTCCTCGCAATTGCGCTTAACAGCTTACGCAATATGCGACAACGATAAAGCGTGTAGGATTTCAAAGCAGCGGCTTTCAAGAGCATAGCCCCAATCAGCGCGCTACTCAAACGACTCTAAGCATCCACATCACGTGATCTTACGTTGATACATCGTTTGGCATTAACAGAGCATATTCCAAGCGCTTGCGAATCACATGCGCCACATTTTCGGGCTGCTTAATGTGACGAAGCCAAACGGCATGTGTGGAGTTGTATGCTGAGAGGCAGGCGACGCCATATGGCCTTAGCAGCTGAGTGCGTCGTAAGCCCGCAAGTACTCGTCCGATGCACTTACGACTGGAACTAGTTCGACGAACTTACGATTGACACTGGGGACGTTGCTGATGTGCTCATGCTCGTAACTAACATTGTAAGTTTGTATCACTCGTCGTTTGCTTTTGCCAGATGAATGCTCGGAAAGGAGTTTGTTTGCCTTCCCGGGAGAGGTACTGGAGCATGTGGAGATGAACATGACCAGCTTCAGTGTGGGGTCTTCTTTCACCATCAGCTGCAAGAACCGAGCACTGGTAAGCTAAATACATCTACTTTTCATCATCCCACATGACAGTGTTTTTACACCGCTGGTTGATGGAAACAGCATGCGCCATTGGCTTTGGGCCACGTGACAACTTGCTTTTGATTTCTCTGAGTGGGAGTCATCTTTCAGTAACTTGGAGATGTAGTTCCTTCGACCCGTTTCATTTAGTAAAAGACAGATATGCACATGCATGGACGAACATCATTTCTTTATCATTTGCGCTACAGTCATAGCAATCGCATTGTGCTGTGACTATTAAGGTTCGCATTGCCTGATAGGTCTCAACGTCTTGAAATCATGGGTTGAGGTGCAATGGTCGCTTCGGCAAACTTCCGAACTACAGGTTTTTGGACCGAGGAAGTTCTCTATCTGAATCTGAATGTGTGGGAAGCCTCACCGGCGGGACCCTGGGAACCCCTTCGTTCAGAAAAAAGTATTTCTGGGATTACAGCATTGTGCTGCGCGGATGTGTTCGACGACTGCACCGTCTAACGTGCCCAGCCTCAGGCAGGCCGATCGATTATTTGCTCCTGCCGCCCTACTTACCTGTGGATGTATCATGCAGATGTGTGTGTGTGTGTGTGTGTGTGTGCTGACTATCCATACGCTGTATCTGTGGATGTATCATGTAGATGTGTGTGCGCTCACCATCCATACGCTGTATCTGTGGGTGTATCATGCAGATGTGTGTGTGCTCACAATCCATACGCTGTATCTGTGGATGTATCATGCAGATTTGCGTGCGCTCACCATCCATACGCTGTATCTGTGGATGTATCATGCAGATGTGTGCGCTCACTATCCACACGCTGTATCTGGGGATGTATTATGCAGATGTGTGTGCCCTCACTATCCACACGCTGTATCTGTGGATGCATCATGCAGATGTGTGTGCGCGCACTATCCACTAGCTGAAGGCTGCTGCAGAGATAGCTCTCACTTCCCTTTTGACTACTTTTCAATTCAGACATAGTTGTCGATGACTATTGTATCCAGTTTGGCTATATACCCAATGGTAGGAATTCTATGAACTCAAGCCTGCGGAACGCGATGACCATCGGATCCTCAACAACAGGACAACCACTTTCTCTCCGGAGGGTGTTCTAACCACCCTGTCGTTCCCTCGGCGGTGTGAGGCAGCACGTTTTCTCGCTGGAAGTTCTGCTCGTTGCATTACGTGCTCATTTCCGTGCCAAGAGTACCTCAAGCTTTGTTCAGCGCTTTCATGCATGGGAAAAAATGACCGCGCGTTAGTTGTGCTGAAAAATTCAAAAGAGCTTGTCGCAAGTATGCCATGAATCGATGGCCAGGACCGATACACTTATTTGATAGTCTCAGAACTAAAATGAAAAGAACGTGTTGCGCGTTTTATCATGTAAGGTTGTGTGACACGCTCCTGATTCATTCACTACCCGTCTGTATGTGTTACAAATTTGCCTTTGCGTTGTAGCTTTGCAAAGTGATGGCCTTCCCATTGGCGTGGTTGGAGGTAGCTGTCACTTGGTGCACTTTAACTACCACCGTGTTTCATTCGGCGGCGTGGTGATGGATGCAAACGCGGGAAAATGGCTATATATATATATACATATATATATATATATATATATATATATATATATATATATATATGGTGTTCCGGCTTGCTGGGTCCAAAAGCAGCTTTGTATAAAAAATTTCTTCTTACTCTAGAAAAAAAGATTAGAAACCGTTTTCCAAGATGGTAAATCCTTTAGCCGAATATGCTGTCTAACCTCTTCAAGCATTCTAAAAGATTTGTTATATTTGAAAAAGCAGGGTATCTTGGATCAGCGTTCGGCAGATCAAGGCCGCTATTTTATGAATGTTCGGTACGCATTATAAATTGCAGTGTGGGGGGGGGGGGGCAGTCACGAGGCTGTCCAGCAAAACACCAGCCGTCAGCACCGATGTCCTGCGTCCTGCGCGCACAGGTCCTTCCAACCGAGAGGACTCTGAGTTCGGGCCTCTCCAACTCCGTGACGTTCACCTGCGCCAAAGAGAATGCCGACGCACAGGCAGCCATGGACGACTGGCCTCTGCTGACTGGCAACCCCTGCATTGGTGAGAGATACGAGGGACCACGCTCGCCCGCTACCGGACGGTCAGCCGAGGCTCAGTCGGGTCCAGACGGGATCGTGTTGCCCCGTAAATGTGTTTTCATCTGGACTGGGCGCACAGCCGGACAGGAGCCGGCCGTGCACTGTTCCTTTTACTGCGCTTTTATACGGTTGGCAGCGTGTAAAGGGCCCGGAATGTTCGTGCTCTTGTCCCACGTCGCAAGTGCGCCTCTATTCTGCCGTGTGATGCAACACTGCTTTGGCTGATGTAAGCGTTAATTGGTGACCGCCCGAGTTAACAGGACTCTCGCCGCCCGGCTGGTTGCAGAGCCATGTCCGGATGGTTACACACTGTACCTGGGGACCTACCAGTTCGGGGGCGCCCAGCAGGGTCGGACGACGTGCATCAATTCCAGCCCCAGCTCGGGCGTCAACGGGCTGGTGGCGGCGGCCAAAGCCTGTGGCGACGCCGATGAGCAGCTGCTCGACTTCTTCCTGCCGCGCAGCTTCCGTGCCCAGCGCAGACCCGCAGCAGAAGTACATCATGAACGTGCAGACATACCCCGACAGTGGGAGAGTCAGGTGGGCGGCACTGGCGCCCGTCCTGAGGGAGAGCGCTGGAGGCGGTGATCGCGACTGCAGGCGCCGTTCGGCCGCAGAGCACCGCATGGGGGACATCCACCTGGGATGGGGTGGTAGTCGTGCAGCGGGAGAGACGGGGCAGCGCTGACACAGCGTGGGATTAAGGAGATGATGCCGATAGACGTCGAGGTAATGGGCATTGCTCTATTCCCTTTTGACGATTGCATGCGATGTTTACAGTTACTTCAGTGCCAGGATGGAAAAGGTTAAGACAGTAGATGCAGTTAACCCAGGTACGAACTGCCTGCTTGCAAGATACGATGCAGAGGATCAGAACCCGATAGACGAGGCCTCAGCTTGCAACAGAGATGCCGAAGGGAACCTTGCTAATCATCGCTACTTTTGCATGACCAATAGTAAGTACCGTGTATGCACCCTCAGTGAGCAATTTCGTTGCTTTGCTCGCAATAATGGCTGCAATGATACCATGTCAGCTTTGACCTACTTTGCCTGGCGTCTGACCACAAAACTCCAAAACGACGCTCTGTTCTTCCCTTCGCAAGTGTGGCGATGGCTAAAGTCGTCGTTGGACCACGGTTATCAGACATGTGCGGATGTGAAGGGGGGAAACGCAAATCCATTACAACATTGTTTGAAATATCTCAAAATTGTATAAGTGTGTTTCAGCCATACTCATCTTGAAAACAGAAAATTTGCCTGTGAACTCCATTGCCGAAAGGCGTCTGGCACGAACGGGCGGCCGCAAGTATGCAGCATTTTGCATTGACCACTCGTGACGACTTTGCCTGGAAACAAACATTATAACGTAAAAATCGACTCCTCTGCAACTTCAGGCTCTGGGCGAGGACCTTAGTTGTGCGGAGTGTGCAACAGTAGGAGACGTATCACGGGTAACGGTTCCTCTTTTTTCCGAATGGCTGACAACGGTCACACAATGTAATAGGGACACTGCAGGGCCTGGTATGTGTAGAACAAATAGCAAAGGTTTCCGAACGCGTTTTTGTGACAGACTAGGAAACGCTTCTCAGCCATTTATGCCGGGAGCAGGCGAATACACTGGTTCAGAATCTCAGCCCAACATAGCTTAAAGCCCCCCCCCCCCCAAAAAAAAACAGCACAGCCAGCCTGTAGCGATGGACCGCTGGACTGGTGTCTGACAGCTGGCGACGATTGTGCATGCCGGCCATGAAGGTGCATGTGCTCGTCAGCCGGCTGCCCGGACGGAGAGCTCTTCCACAAGGGCTTCTGCATCAAGATGGTGGCGGATGCGACGGCGTCCAACCACGAGGAGGTGTGCGGCGAATTTCGCAGCTCACCCGCCGCGTACACGCCAGAGCTCGGCAACACCGTGGCGCGGCAGCTGTCCGGGTCGTATCCCGACCTACAGCCCATGGTCGGCGTGTACAAGTGAGTCCGGCCCCGGCCGTGGCCGACCCGCCGGGGTCAAGATCTGTATGACAGACTCCGCTTATTGCAGCTGTACGGCAGACTCCGCGTATTGCAGACTGTGGTGGTCTGGCTTAGTCTAGTCCAATGGCACCACCGGTTTCTGATACCAACAAAGCTTCATGCTGAGTCCCACCTTCAGAATTAAATCCTCCGCCGTAGTACTAACCTTCCCGTAAGCTCTTCTTTGTTGCGAAGTTTCTCCTGACTTTCTGCGTCGAGACCAACCGCGGCGTTCGCGCGTGATCCTAATTTCCGCGACTGAGTCTGAGCCTAGCGCGTTATTGACTGCAGCCGTCCGAGCCCTGTCCTGGTGCTTCATCTTGTCTTTGGCGGGCGTCTGGCTGCAGGCGCGGCGGACAGTTTTGGAGGCCGGGTGGCGTGGCGTTGAACGAGTCGGATTTTGAGGACGGGCTGGGCTCGGCGCGGCAGCGGTGCGCGGCCCTGTCCGCCAGCAACCCGGCACTGCTGACGGCTGTCTCCTGCGTAGAGAGCGACATTCAACGCGGCGTCCTCTGCCAGACCCCCGGATACGTCATCGAAGCGACACGTGAGGCAGAGGCCGAGGAAGGAGAGGAGGGAAGGGGCATAGGGTAATGAGGGCAGCGTTAGGGAACGAGGCGGGTCACCTCGGCTGAAAGAGGGGAAGAGAGAAAGGGACAGGGAAAAGAAAATAGAGATAGAGAGAGAATAGAGAGAGAGAGAGAGAGAGAGAGAGAGAGAGAGAGAGAGAGAGAGAGAGAGAGAGAGAGAGGGAGAGAGGAGAGAGAGAGGGAGAGAGAGAGGGGGGGGGGGGAGAGAGGGCGGAGGCGGGGTGGGAGCTAGGAACATGAGGGTGAGGGTGGGTCTGAGGTCACCGTCAGGATGCATGGCAAGGGCTGGGTGAAATCGTGGGTCAGAAAGGGGGGCAAGTGAGGATAAGGACGAAAAAAGATAGACAGGAAGTCGAAACGAGTTAAGCAATCAATGCCGGATAATGTCACCGTATGCTGTTTTGGACCTGGTCAGCCAATAAAGCCTCCTGCCGTGCCAGCACATATGCACACGCACACGCTCATGTATACGCTCGCACACACGCACACGCATATGCATACGCATGCGCACACGCGCACGCACAGGCACACGCATAGGCACACGCACACACACACGCACACGCACATGTACACGCACACGCTTACGTATACGCACACAGGCACACACGAACGCGCGTGTGTGTGTGCGTGTGCGTGTGTGTGTGTGTGTGTGTGTGTGTGTGTGTGTGGTGTGTGTGTGTGTGTGTGTGTGTGTGTGTGTGTGTGGTGTGTGTGTGTGTGTGTGTGTGTGTGTGTGTGTGTGTGTGCCTGTGCGTGTACCTGGGCGTGAATTTGAGCGTAAGCGCGTGTGTGTGCATATGTGCTGGCACACACACACACACACACACACACACACACACACACACACACACACACACACACACACACACACACACACCGTCTGCGGCAGTCACGTCGCTCTCGGCTCACGTGCGCCCTGTTTGCAGCCCGCTGCTCTCTGGAGTATGAGCAGCTGGTGGGCGCGGCCGCAGACGGCGCCGTGCCGCCGGCGGTACAGCGCGTGTCGTCGCTGTACAGCAGTCGTATTGAGCCGACCATGCAAGGAGACCAAGTGACGCTGACCTGCCCGGAGGGCTTCAGTCTGCACACCCCCGAAGGGTCACACTCGATGGTGTACACCTGCACCGGACTGAAGCGCGAGTGGGTGCCGGAGGTCGACTTGCCGGAGGGAGTCAGCGAGGTCGCGCCGGCTCTATGCGTGCTCGGTGGGTGCCATGGGGGTGGCGAGTCCGATTCGTGGCGTCTTGGATCCGCGTCCGGCTGCTAAATTGACCGTTTTTGAGGGACGTGAGTTTAGGTATAAGTCTTGAGTCTCGCGACTTTGAATCTGAGTCACAGTGTTGCTGCATGTGAACCCCAGTCCGCGCCAGTCAGAATCCTAGGAACTCCATTAGTCTCAGTCCAAGTTCGTGTTTGCGTTTCCTAGTGCCTTATGGGATCGCACAGACTGCGAAATGTCCAGGGCCAATGCTATCAGGAACACAAGCAATATCTTATATGATGTATGTGTTTGTCCATGCACCTACTTAGATAGTGAGTATTTAATATAAAAACTGAGACACGTAAATGCAGAGAATGTTCCGAATGTATGCTGAAACCGTTATAAGACATGTATGGCAAATACGCCGAATATAGCAGGCTACGCCCGGGGATAGAATAGGCTATGGTCTCTCATATCAGAGACCAGGCTATGTGTAATGGTCCATACCCTATTCTCGTTGTCCATAATACGTCAAGCTTTGTGATGATAGACTGTACTAGGCTTGAATATCACAGACTAAATTATCAACTGCTTTGGCTGCCCCGTAACGAGCGCCAAACGAGCACAGTCTTTGCGCTCCTTTCCCCAGTGCAAGCTCCCTGACCACGCCCCTAACCTGGTGCTTAAGCGGCACCAAGGCCGGATCCAAAGGGATCGGGTCCATGACCCCTTCCAATGTGGCTCTTAGCACTCGAGATTGTACCTCGTTTGCCTGGGTCTAATTAACTTGGCACCAAACGAGCTTCACACCCACACGAGCCAAGCCTGTGCTAAGATCCGGTGGTGAGCCCGCCCCTGAACCCCTGAGCTCCTGAGCCCCTGAGCGGCAGCGTGTCTCGTCTCTCAGCATGCCGCCTGCCGGACGCCACGCAGAAGCCCGCCAACAGTGAGATGGAGCAGAGCGGCATCCGGCTGACGCACACGTGCAACGCGCAGCTGTTGACGGCCGACGGCAAGCAGGTGCAGGAGCAGGTGTGCGACCACACCACCAGCCAGTGGAGCCCGCCCTCCGACCAGCTGAAGGACTGTGACCGTAAGTGGTCTGCCCTCGGTAGGGGCAGTGGTCTGCCCTCGGTAGGGGCAGTGGTCTGCCCTCGGTAGGGGCGCAGTCCGTGTACTCACGCGGCCGGATCGGAACCCACCGAAACTGCGCGATTTACGGGAGCGATAGAACTATGAAATATGTTTGCAGTGGCTGTCGTGGCGACCATCACGTAAACAGCAGGCTGGGCCGGAAGCGTGCGGAACAGCGGGCACGTGGTTCCCGAAGCGCCTCACCTCCCTCGCTGTTCGTTACAGATTGTACGGGGTCGCCGGTGGTGCCTAACGCGGAGAACACATTCACGAGCAACTGGGAGACGGATCTAAACTCGTCCAAAGCACTGAACACCACCGTCACGTACGCCTGCAACGGCATCTTGACGACGGCAAACGGCAGCACGGAGCAGTGGCAGTCGTGCACCGCGCGTGGATGGGTGAGGAGGGCCACGGGTCACGTGACAGCGCAGACAAGGCTAGGTCGAGGGTTGTCTGACGGCCCACGGAGCTGTCATGTGACGGTGCGTGAAGCTGGGCCACGGGTCACGTGACGCCAGATGGAGTTGACTATGTGAAGACGGGCAGAGTTGTCACGATGCATGTGATGGCAGGTGGAGTTAGGTCACGGTTCACAGCTCATGTGGACGCAAATGGAGTCAGGCTACAGGTCAGAGCTGCCACGCCGAGTTAGTTCCGAGACAAAACAAGGCGGTGGTAACGGAAGCTGAATGTTGGGTCGGGCGACGGTTGGCCATGGCGAACACGTCGGTTCTCTGAGACGCCGGTGGAACTCATGGCAGCTGTTCGACAGAAAAATGGATGCGTTAGTTCAGATGGCACATCAGTATTCCCCGCCGGCCAGGGGAGAGCCCTTTCATAACGCATCAGGCGCATGCCACACCGCACTCGCAGGAGGACGGCGAAGAGCCGTGGCTGGGGATGTGTCGACCCTGAGCCTGCGCAGCGGAGACGAGAACCAGCGGTGAAGAAAAGGCGAACTACGGCGTGCATCTCCGACGCCGACCCTGCGGCGAAGGGGCGGCGACCGGGTCGGACGAGCCGGCGACACGGCGCCACGTGACCGGGCCGCCATCGCGCCGGCAGGTCGGGGACGTGGCCGAGTGCTCCGAGTGCCAGCCCTGGGACGACAGCGACCCGCTGGTCGTGGTCTCCGTCTCCGACGCGCCGGGCTTCGGCCGGACGACGAATTTGAGCTGCGTGGAGGGCCTCCGCCTGGCCAGCGGGTCCAGCAGCGAGATGGCCGTATGCACGCCGGACGGCTGGAGCACCTGTGAGGACAACTTCAACTGCACACGTGAGTGGCGCGGCGACTGCGGCGTTCGGGCGTGGCCCAGTGATAGCAGTCGTTGGTAACGCCGCCCTGGACACGCCGTTGACATTTCGAACATTCAGCGGCATGCATTGCTTGCTCGGGTAGTTTCAGGACCGGAGTTCTCGCTAAGAGTTTAATAAGTTTGCTGCGTTGCTAGGACAGGCGCTTAGCTAGTCTTAACTTTGCAACGACCTTTCGGTGGTTCACTAAACTGGAGCATTTTGGTGAGCTCTAGGCTCACCTCTCATCATGTGTCCCCCGTGTCTTATCCCACCACCGTCCCACCACCTATTGCCTTTCCGGACCAGCGCCAGTTTTCAGGCAATCACTCCGCTTTGATGCGAATGACCGACTTTTACGCCGACTGAGTCGTACGGTGACGGCCGTGTGGTGTGGTCCTGCCTTCCACGAGCTTTGGACCGCGTACTGTCCCCTGGCGCCGAGCCTCGGGGCGTGCGGTGACCTCTCGTCGCTCTGCGGTCAGACTGCGCCGGCACGCCGCCGAACGTCACCGGTCAGGCGCTGGTGACCTCGGACTGGGACGGCAGCTCGGCCGAGCTCGGCACCTCCGTCACCTTCACCTGCGCCGCTGGCCTGGCCACGGCCACCGGCGACACGGTGCAGCACTCTATCTGCAGTGCGAGCGGCGGCTGGGGCACCGATCTGCTGCCCTGCACCTGTGAGTGCGCAGACACTGTCTGGGGACTGTGTCATTGGCCGAAAACTCGCATCGCGATGTTGAGTACGTGATCCTTTGTCTTTTTCGGGAATTAATGTGCACCAACAGACAAACAGGCACCTTACCCTCCTCCTGGCTCCAAGCACGTCAATAGCTACTGCACACGTCTGCGGCGGGCAGGCCGGTACCGACTGACCGAGACGATCATGCACACCGCAGACTGCCTGGACCCCGCCGGAGGGCAACCACTCAACGATCGCGAGCTCGGTTAGCGAGGGAAACGGCTCCTTCGGCTCCACCTGGACCTTCCACTTGCGCCGACGGCCTGTCTCGCCGCCAACGACTTCACCAACATCACCAGCGTGTGCACTGACACAGGCTGGACCCACTGTCAGGACGCCATCCAATGCGACTGTAAGTTGTCACTGATCCCGCCGCCAGCAGGACAACGGGGCAACGTTGCTGAGGTACTCGTAAATATAAATTAAAGGAGAGAGAGAGAGAGAGAGAGAGAGAGAGAGAGAGAGAGAGAGAGAGAGAGAGAGAGAGAGAGAGAGAGAGAGAGAGAGAGAGAGAGAGAGATAGAGAGAGAGAGAGAGAGAGAGAGAGAGAGAGAGAAGAGTGAGAGAGAGAGAGAAAGAGAAAGGGAAAGAGAGAGAGAGAGGGGAGGGAGGGCGGGGGGAGGGCGGGAGAAGATTAACATATATATATATATATATATATATATATATATATATATATATATATATACTTTGAAGCGCCTACGATGATCCGCGTAGTACAGATAGCCAGAGCCGCCATGTCTGTGTTCTAACATCGACATCCTTCCCCTTACCATTCCTGACGTCACCACTACCCGGTGAGCCCGACTACCGTGGCGCGGCGTGCCGGCCCCGCCGCCGTGCCGCCGCGTCCCCGCCCGCCGACCGTCGGCCTCGCCGGCAGACTGCGCGCCGCGGGCGCCCATCAGCACGTGGGGCGGCACGCTGACGTGGGACTACAATGGCACGAACACGCTCGACACGGTGGTCACGCTGACCTGTAACGCGGGCATGGCGACGCCGGACACGCTGCGGACTGAGCAGACCACCGTGTGCGGCGTGGGCGGCTGGAACGTGACGGGTCTGCGGGCCTGCTCTGGTGAGTCGGCCTCGACCCAGGCTTGTACGTGCAGAGGGTGACACAGGCTCGCACGTGCCGAGAGTGACGCAGGCTCGTACGTGCAGAGGGTAACGCAGGCTCGTAGGTGCTAAAGGTAACGCAGGCTCGAGCGTGCTGAGGGTGACGCAAGTTCGTACGTGCTAAGGGTGACACAGGCTCGTAGATGCTGAGCGTGACGGAGGCTCGTACAAGTTAACGATGACACAGGCTCACACGTGCTGAGGGTGAAACAGGCTCACACGTGCTGAGGGTGACGCAGGCTCGTACGTGCTGAGGGTGACGCAGGCTCGCACGTGCTGGGGGTGCCACCCCCAGCACGAGGCTCGTATATGCTGAGGGTGATGTCTTGTGTATTCCGCCCCGCGCCGTCCGAACTCGTCGCCGGCACGAGTGTCGGCGACTCGCCGGTGGGGCGGCGTTCGGGCCGGAGCCCGGCTCGCGTCGCCGGGGCTCCGGACCGGCTCAGGGTGCAGCACGGACGAACAGACCTGCGCGAGGGAGCCCGCCGGGGACCGCTGAGTGATGGGCGCTTCGTCCGCCTCAGTGTGCACAGAGGAGCCTCCGGCGCCGGCCGCTTCCATGAAGAACATCTCCTGGACGCAGGGCGTGGACGAGGTCACGTACGAGTGTCTGGACGCGTTCCAGCTGCCATGGAACTTGACTTCGTACGTTCTGCCCTGCTCTGTCATCGGGTGGGACACGTGCGTTCCCGAGTGCAGTGGTAAGTAGCACAAGCCAGCAATTGGTTTTGTGTGCAGATGAAGTCACCAGACTGCGTCATTGCACATTCGCGACTGCATTCATCCGAACTACGGTCACAGACCACCGAGCATCACCTCCGAGTCGCTTCGACCCATTATCTTTCACTTCCGGCAGGAGACCACCTGCACGCACCATCGGCACGTGACGCCTCCGTTCCTGAGCCGGACGACCCTCGGCCAGCGGCTGACCCTGCTCCCTTTCGCAGCCTGTCGCGACCCCGACATCTCTGTAGACGGCGTGGTGACCGTGGCGATGGACGTCCAGCGGGGTGGCAAGGCCGTCTTCAACTGCAGCAGCGACGCGCTGACGACTGCCACGGAGCTGAGCTCGCAGGAGCTCACCTGCACCGAGACCGGCTGGGCCGGCGGACCCGTCCTCGCCTGCGACAGTGAGCCGGTGCCCACCAGCCCTGGCGCTCTGGATGGGATGCCTTTGGCGCCTCTTTTTTAAAGGAACGCTGCACACATGAAGGGGCGCACCGACGCGCACTGAAATTGTCTCAACGCGCATCGAGAGTGGTGGGGGAGGGCACCTTGATATCAGCCGAGCTCCGATTGGGAAGTCGCGCTTGGACCTGCTCAGACTCAGTCTGGCCCACGAGTCTCACGGGCAAACACGAGTCTTTGTCCGCAGCGACGCATTGGTGCGGGGCACTTGTGACGGGACCCACCCCAGCCCGCAGCACCTGCCCGCGCCTGGTTCGTCCCCAGCGTGCTCTGGCGACCCACCGGAGCCGGGCACCGGCCAGAACCGCACCTGGAGTGAGAACGGCACGCTGGGCGAGGCGGCCGTGTACCAGTGCGCCGAGGGACTGGTGACCTCGGATGGCTCCGCGGCCCAGACCGTCACCTGCACGGAGGACGGCTGGTTTGGCGCGGCGTTACCGTGCGACCGTGAGTGGGTGGGCCAGGCGGGTGGCCGGGTGGTGTCGCCTTGTTACAGTGGGTGGGCGGGTTGGACTAGTATCGCCGTGTGACCGTGGGTGGGCGGGGAAGGGTACCGCGCTGCGATTGTAAGTGGGCGCTGGAGGACTGACGCCTCCCTGTGACCGTGAACGAGAAATGGCGCGCTAGCACCGCAGTGTGACCGTGAGAGGTATGAGGTCATTGGTACTTCCCTGTACCCTTCGGTGGTCCCAAGGAGAATAGTGTTTCCCCCTGACCATGAGCAGGCAGCGGGAAACTGACACCACCACGTGCGTGTGACCCGCCGTTGACATGATTGGAGCAGGATCACCGCACGTCAGTGAGCACTGACGGCAGTAACCACCCCGGCAGACTGTCTGGCGCCGCCCCGACCCGCTGCACAGCACCCAGCGGAGCGACTGGAACGCCAGTCTGACTGTGGCGCCGATCGGCAGCGTTGTGACGTACAGCTGCGGCGACGGCACGGTCGTGCCCGCCACCAACAGCAGCAATCAGACACTGGCCTGCCGTGCCGACGGCTGGGACGGCGCCATCCAGCACTGCGGTACGTGCCATGGTCTGACGGGACCCGGTCCGGTGATCCGTCGGGACTCGGTCCGATGGTCTGCCGGGGCTAGGTCTGGCGGTCTGTCTGGACTCATTCTGGCGGTCTGTCGGGACTCGGTCCGGCGATCCGTCGGAACTCGATCCGGCGGTCTGTCGGGGCTCAGTCCTGTGGTCTGTCGGGACTAGGTCCGGCGGTCTGTCGGGACTCATTCTGGCGGTCTGTTGGGACTCGGTCCAATGGTCTGTCGGGACTAGGTCCGGTCATCTGTCGGGACTCGGTCCGATGGTCTGTTGGGACTAGGTCCGGTGGTCTGTCGGGACTAGGTCCGGTGGTCTGTCGGGACTCGGTCCAGTGGTCTGCCGAGCGGTGTCCATCCGCCCGGCGAGTCTGCGGGCTGGTGCGGGCTGGTTTCAGCACCCGAAGTGACATCGGTCTGCTCCTCCCGCCGTCAGGGGATCGTTCCGTGGTCACGATACTCAGCACTGTCGGCAAGACTGGTCGCCACACCACACAGTTTTGTGCGGTGATGATGATGATGATGACTTGAGCTTTGGGGCACAGTTTTATGTGAGAGCCGCAGCTCGATTAACGGGCACGTCCGTTGATCGAGGTGTTAATCGAGCTGTGAGTGTCCTTCCCTCTGTTGTCTGGGGTGTGCGTGTGAGTCCGAGCCTTTGGGCCGATGCGTGGCTCCCCCTACGAAAGCCTCACGCTCGCCCGTCCGCTAGCCGCCTGCCTGGGCGACATTCCGCGGCCGCCCAACGACACGGAGGCGCGCAACATCAGCTGGGGCGGCGGCCGGTTCCCGGGCGCACGTGTCAACTACACCTGCGTGGAGAGCGGGCGGCAGCAGACGGTGGAGTGCGTGGACTTCCGATGGGCGCCCGAAGAGCTGGACCCCTGCGGTGAGCTCATCGCCATCATAGGCTGGGGTGGAACGAGCTAGACTGAGGTCAGGTTTGACATTAAAAAGTGGATGTGGGTCGGGGCAAACCGGATTGCGAAGTCGATTCCTTCCCTGTATCACGATGGAGTTTATGTTAAACTTTCACGATAAAATGGAATTGGACAGCGAGCTATTCCTGATTCAGGCATACACGAGGTCGTTTATGGCATTTTTGTTCCGCTGAGCTCGCGTAAATGATCCAAAAAGCTTGTGGTTAAGAAATAAGACTCATTTTACCTCAGACCATAGTGTGACACATCTCGCCCTTGCACATCTTTTTTATGTGAAAGCATCAGGAAAATACGCTGCCGTCGTGTGTACTCTGTTGCCAGTCTATCATTCGATGACCGATTCCTTTATTCCTTAGACTCTAGTGTTTCATAAATGTCTTCCTCGACAAATGTACCTGTATGTTCCTGCATGCACACATCCATGAATGACTGAAATATGAATGAGTGAGTGAGACGGTGCGTGCGCTGTGTTGGCTGGTATAACATGTGAGTGGGTCTTGGTTAGCATCGCTCACATGGGTGTGGCCAGCTTGTGTGTCTAATTTTTCATCGCGCAGTTACTCTTACAGTGAACTCTTACTTCGTGTGGAATATTTTCAGCAGTGCAGCTCACGCAAACGTAGGCTGGTGCAGTGGAAGCACGGTCCACGAACGGACCTGGCCGACCGCATACCAGTTGATCCTGCCTCCGCTGGTCCAGTGAAGAGTGGTGATGATGAACAACTCCTGCACCATGACGTTGCTGGAGGACGTTGTTGTATTTCGTTGCCCAATATTCAACTGCTAGATATCCTGATGATAGGCAATACCCACGTGTGTGATACGTACCCAGAAATCACGCAAAACATTCAACTGTTCAGCTTAAGTTCCACGAGAACTACATCGCTTTGAGGCTGTTAGGCGCGGTGTGGTCAATTTACCATGTGTTATGTCATAACCATGAAAGCTTCTTTAAAATGTACCTTGACAGCTCTTCACTGCGCTTGACCATAGTACTGTTTCCGCAGATATAACAAAGGTGAAAGCCACTAAACGTCTGCCATACACGAAACATGTTTCGGCACGTCCCGATCACCTATCAGCCGGAATGTTTCCAGGGAATTTATGTTTCAGATTGTCGTCTGTGAGACGTCTCCAGGAGTTGCGTCAAACGCTCTTTCGTCTCCGTGACGGTACAGCCTACCAGCGAAGACTGCACACTGCATCCTACCCACGCCAACATACTGGACCGTTGACACCAGGTTTTATCGCCCGACCAGCCCATGTGATCGGATCAGTCCACTGGGCTTCTGATCCGACTGAGACGGGACTATATATATATATATATATATATATTATATATATATATATATATATATATATATATATAATATATATATATATATATATATATACACTATATATATATACATATATATATCGCTGTATTCATCTGTTCGCCTGAACAATGACCGATGGCTGTGCCTTGCTATCTCGAAGGTATCAGCTGCCAAATGTGGACACGTCGGCACTGGCCAGCAGATTCTGCGTACACGGCTTAACGTGTCCACGCTCTCACTTGGACGTCACCCTCGGGGGTGGTGTCAAAGGCCTGTGCCAAATGCCTGTGCTGACTGTTGGCCGCGTCTGTGACGGGCATGACGTCACTGGCGTGGAGGTGGACCGTGGCCTTCGTGTAGCTGGAGGCCGTGGTTTCTCATTCGGACGTCTGTGCGTGGCCATTGATATAAAATAGTGTGTTGTCTTCAAAGTGTACACCAGGAATGCGTTTGGGCGACGTTTAAAACTGGCGCAGTACCAGCTCTTCGCTCAGGTTCTCGTAGGTCGTAGTTTTTTACATGTACAGACGCTTCTGTTTTTCAGGCACGTATCATGCCAAAACTTCCGATAGAGAAACACATGTCTGGTGATGTTTCTACTGTTCTGAGGTTTTCAACCAAAGCCAAAGCTGTACAATATACTATAGCTTCGTGCCAAACGTGACTGTGTATTCGACAGTTTGCTTGCTGGTAGATGGCAGAATGTTTGATATGCATCGGCAGCAGGCCAATGTGGGCTGCAATTTGCAATAAACTATTTACCAATACGAATCACGGACTGACAGGGATGCTGTGTGTTGGGCAGTTCGCTTGCTGGAAGATTGAAAATGCTTGATATGCACCGGCAGCAGGCCAATGTGACATGCGACTTGCAATAAACTTTTTACCTATGTAAATCACGGACTGACAGGGATGTGATGATACTTTTGGGCGGGAAGAGCAGTAAACGAACAGCTTTTTATCAACGAAAACCTGAACAGCAATTGCCTCCACCGTCGGCGACCGCTACCCTGGATCGACTGCACCCCTCATTACTGACTTCGAACCAATCGCATAACTGGTGCATGTTCATGCATCAGCATCACAGCTTGTCGGGTGTGTAAAGCAGGTCAGACGCATGCTACAGGACGTGTTTCCGAATAATCGTCGCCTACACCACACAACAGCAGAAAAAATAGCTTGCGGAGAGCTGTCTGCATAGGACATGAATTCGTCAACCGGTAATTCGTTTTTCCCCTCCTACAACGTAGCCGTCCTCATCCACATTTGTAAGTTGGACGAGGGCTCACACTTTTCTTACATATGTTGTCCTCTCGTATATCACCGGGCTTCTCATGCGATTCCCATCATTCTACGATTGATACGCTGCCTGACTGAATGCCAACCACGTAGCGGA